ATGGAGCCTTGAGTGAGCAGGGGGGAATGGAGCCTTGAGTGAGCATGGGGGAATGGAGCCTTGAGTGAGCAGGGGGGAATGGAGCCTTGAGTGAGCAGGGGGGAATGGAGCCTTGAGTGAGCAGGGGGGAATGGAGCCTTGAGTGAGCAGGGGGGAATGGAGCCTTGAGTGAGCATGGGGGAATGGAGCCTTGAGTGAGCATGGGGGAATGGAGCCTTGAGTGAGCATGGGGGAATGGAGCCTTGAGTGAGCATGGGGGAATGGAGCCTTGAGTGAGCATGGGGGAATGGAGCCTTGAGTGAGCATGGGGGAATGGAGCCTTGAGTGAGCATGGGGGAATGGAGCCTTGAGTGAGCATGGGGGAATGGAGCCTTGAGTGAGCATGGGGGAATGGAGCCTTGAGTGAGCATGGGGGAATGGAGCCTTGAGTGAGCATGGGGGAATGGAGCCTTGAGTGAGCATGGGGGAATGGAGCCTTGAGTGAGCATGGGGGAATGGAGCCTTGAGTGAGCAGGGGGGAATGGAGCCTTGAGTGAGCAGGGGGGAATGGAGCCTTGAGTGAGCAGGGGGAATGGAGCCTTGAGTGAGCATGGGGGAATGGAGCCTTGAGTGAGCAGGGGGGAATGGAGCCTTGAGTGAGCAGGGGGGAATGGAGCCTTGAGTGAGCATGGGGGAATGGAGCCTTGAGTGAGCATGGGGGAATGGAGCCTTGAGTGAGCATGGGGGAATGGAGCCTTGAGTGAGCAGGGGGGAATGGAGCCTTGAGTGAGCAGGGGGGAATGGAGCCTTGAGTGAGCATGGGGGAATGGAGCCTTGAGTGAGCATGGGGGAATGGAGCCTTGAGTGAGCATGGGGGAATGGAGCCTTGAGTGAGCATGGGGGAATGGAGCCTTGAGTGAGCATGGGGGAATGGAGCCTTGAGTGAGCATGGGGGAATGGAGCCTTGAGTGAGCATGGGGGAATGGAGCCTTGAGTGAGCAGGGGGAATGGAGCCTTGAGTGAGCAGGGGGGAATGGAGCCTTGAGTGAGCAGGGGGGAATGGAGCCTTGAGTGAGCAGGGGGGAATGGAGCCTTGAGTGAGCATGGGGGAATGGAGCCTTGAGTGAGCATGGGGGAATGGAGCCTTGAGTGAGCATGGGGGAATGGAGCCTTGAGTGAGCATGGGGGAATGGAGCCTTGAGTGAGCATGGGGGAATGGAGCCTTGAGTGAGCAGGGGGAATGGAGCCTTGAGTGAGCATGGGGGAATGGAGCCTTGAGTGAGCATGGGGGAATGGAGCCTTGAGTGAGCAGGGGGGAATGGAGCCTTGAGTGAGCATGGGGGAATGGAGCCTTGAGTGAGCATGGGGGAATGGAGCCTTGAGTGAGCATGGGGGAATGGAGCCTTGAGTGAGCATGGGGGAATGGAGCCTTGAGTGAGCATGGGGAATGGAGCCTTGAGTGAGCATGGGGGAATGGAGCCTTGAGTGAGCAGGGGGGAATGGAGCCTTGAGTGAGCATGGGGGAATGGAGCCTTGAGTGAGCAGGGGGGAATGGAGCCTTGAGTGAGCAGGGGGGAATGGAGCCTTGAGTGAGCAGGGGGGAATGGAGCCTTGAGTGAGCAGGGGGGAATGGAGCCTTGAGTGAGCAGGGGGGAATGGAGCCTTGAGTGAGCAGGGGGGAATGGAGCCTTGAGTGAGCAGGGGGGAATGGAGCCTTGAGTGAGCAGGGGGGAATGGAGCCTTGAGTGAGCAGGGGGAATGGAGCCTTGAGTGAGCAGGGGGGAATGGAGCCTTGAGTGAGCAGGGGGGAATGGAGCCTTGAGTGAGCAGGGGGGAATGGAGCCTTGAGTGAGCAGGGGGGAATGGAGCCTTGAGTGAGCAGGGGGGAATGGAGCCTTGAGTGAGCAGGGGGGAATGGAGCCTTGAGTGAGCAGGGGGGAATGGAGCCTTGAGTGAGCAGGGGGGAATGGAGCCTTGAGTGAGCATGGGGGAATGGAGCCTTGAGTGAGCATGGGGGAATGGAGCCTTGAGTGAGCATGGGGGAATGGAGCCTTGAGTGAGCATGGGGGAATGGAGCCTTGAGTGAGCATGGGGGAATGGAGCCTTGAGTGAGCATGGGGGAATGGAGCCTTGAGTGAGCATGGGGGAATGGAGCCTTGAGTGAGCATGGGGGAATGGAGCCTTGAGTGAGCATGGGGGAATGGAGCCTTGAGTGAGCATGGGGGAATGGAGCCTTGAGTGAGCAGGGGGGAATGGAGCCTTGAGTGAGCAGGGGGGAATGGAGCCTTGAGTGAGCAGGGGGGAATGGAGCCTTGAGTGAGCATGGGGGAATGGAGCCTTGAGTGAGCAGGGGGGAATGGAGCCTTGAGTGAGCAGGGGGGAATGGAGCCTTGAGTGAGCATGGGGGAATGGAGCCTTGAGTGAGCATGGGGGAATGGAGCCTTGAGTGAGCATGGGGGAATGGAGCCTTGAGTGAGCATGGGGGAATGGAGCCTTGAGTGAGCATGGGGGAATGGAGCCTTGAGTGAGCATGGGGGAATGGAGCCTTGAGTGAGCAGGGGGGAATGGAGCCTTGAGTGAGCAGGGGGGAATGGAGCCTTGAGTGAGCATGGGGGAATGGAGCCTTGAGTGAGCATGGGGGAATGGAGCCTTGAGTGAGCATGGGGGAATGGAGCCTTGAGTGAGCAGGGGGGAATGGAGCCTTGAGTGAGCAGGGGGGAATGGAGCCTTGAGTGAGCATGGGGGAATGGAGCCTTGAGTGAGCATGGGGGAATGGAGCCTTGAGTGAGCATGGGGGAATGGAGCCTTGAGTGAGCAGGGGGGAATGGAGCCTTGAGTGAGCATGGGGGAATGGAGCCTTGAGTGAGCATGGGGGAATGGAGCCTTGAGTGAGCATGGGGGAATGGAGCCTTGAGTGAGCATGGGGGAATGGAGCCTTGAGTGAGCAGGGGGGAATGGAGCCTTGAGTGAGCATGGGGGAATGGAGCCTTGAGTGAGCATGGGGGAATGGAGCCTTGAGTGAGCATGGGGGAATGGAGCCTTGAGTGAGCAGGGGGGAATGGAGCCTTGAGTGAGCATGGGGGAATGGAGCCTTGAGTGAGCATGGGGGAATGGAGCCTTGAGTGAGCATGGGGGAATGGAGCCTTGAGTGAGCAGGGGGGAATGGAGCCTTGAGTGAGCATGGGGGAATGGAGCCTTGAGTGAGCATGGGGGAATGGAGCCTTGAGTGAGCATGGGGGAATGGAGCCTTGAGTGAGCATGGGGGAATGGAGCCTTGAGTGAGCATGGGGGAATGGAGCCTTGAGTGAGCATGGGGGAATGGAGCCTTGAGTGAGCATGGGGGAATGGAGCCTTGAGTGAGCATGGGGGAATGGAGCCTTGAGTGAGCATGGGGGAATGGAGCCTTGAGTGAGCATGGGGGAATGGAGCCTTGAGTGAGCATGGGGGAATGGAGCCTTGAGTGAGCATGGGGGAATGGAGCCTTGAGTGAGCATGGGGGAATGGAGCCTTGAGTGAGCATGGGGGAATGGAGCCTTGAGTGAGCATGGGGGAATGGAGCCTTGAGTGAGCATGGGGGAATGGAGCCTTGAGTGAGCATGGGGGAATGGAGCCTTGAGTGAGCATGGGTGTAAAGGAAGGCACAGAAGAAGACGGCACTGCTGGATGGCTCCATGATCAGGTGCGCTGTGAGCCTTGCTGCTGTTGTTACATGGCGAAGTGAGTTTGGGGAGGGGGAATGAAGCCTTGAGTGAGCATGGGTGTACATATGGAAGGCACAGAAGAAGAAGGCATTGCTGGATGGTTCCATGATCAGGTGAGCTGTGCTGTGTACCTTGATTCTCTGTACCTTGATGCTGTGTACCTTGATGCTGCTCCACAGGGGGTGTTTTCAGGGGGTGTTTTCAGGGGGTGTTTTCAGGGGGTGTTTTCAGGGGGTGTTTTCAGGGGGTGTTTTCAGGGGGTGTTTTCAGGGGGGAGGAGGAGATTAGGCTTCTCATTAGGAAACGGACGAGGAGGCGGAGATTAGTCTCCCACCCATCATGCCCTTGCCCTTGGGAGATTAGGCTTCTGATTAGCTTGCCCTTGGGAGATTAGGCTTCTGATTAGCCCGCCCTTGGGAGATTAGGCTTCTGATTAGCTTGCCCTTGGGAGATTAGGCTTCTGATTAGCTTGCCCTTGCCCTTGGGAGATTAGGCTTCTGATTAGCTTGCCCTTGGGAGATTAGGCTTTTGATTAGCTTGCCCTTGGGAGATTAGGCTTCTGATTAGCTTGCCCTTGGGAGATTAGGCTTCTGATTAGCTTGCCCTTGGGAGATTAGGCTTCTGATTAGCTTGCCCTTGGGAGATTAGGCTTCTGATTAGCTTGCCCTTGGGAGATTAGGCTTCTGATTAGCTTGCCCTTGGGAGATTAGGCTTCTGATTAGCTTGCCCTTGGGAGATTAGGCTTCTGATTAGCTTGCCCTTGCCCTTGGGAGATTGCCCATGTGCCTAATCTCCCTTGCGCTGCACGTTCCCCATTGCCCTGCCCCATTGTTCTCTCCCTTTCGTCATCCTTCCCAGATACGAGGACTTTTTTGGGAGGAAGGCGCCAGAGAGCCACCTGGAGGCGGATAGGGCCATGAGGGGCGAGGAGGACGAGGATGTGGAAGATGTTGAGGTGGAGGAGTGGGAGGGGGAGGGGGAGGAGGATGAGGAGGAAAACCAGGGGGAGGATGAGGAGGAGGATGGGGAGGAGGAGGAAGGGGAGGAAGGAGGGGAGGAGGGGAAGGCAGTGGTGGGGAGAAGGAAGAAGGGGTTGTTGGATGAGGAGGAGGAGGGTGGAGAGGAGGAGGACGACGAGGTACGTTCAGTTCAGAGAATGGGTTGGAAGGGTAAGAGGGGATGTTGTTGTTGGGGACAATGGGGCTGCTGATAGTGCTGCTTTACTTTTCACAGCCTAGTGATTCAACTAAAGACATGCAGGTAGGGCTGCTTTACACAGCCCTAGAGTGAGATCTCTTGAAACCAGTTTCACTCTAGAGTATGCAGCCCTCGTCCCTGCTTTTTTATTATACGCCCCTGCTCTCGCCAATCCCTTACCCCGCTCTGCCCCATTCACTCACACAGCCCAAGTCACCCTGTGAAATCCGCCTGGAGCGGCTGAGGAAGCGCATGCGGCAGCTGGAGCAGGAGAACCTTCAGAGTCCCATCCCATCCCATCCCATCCGAGTGTGGCCTTTCCTGTGCGGCCCTCCTACCCTCCTTCCCTGGTCATCTCTTCTCTGTGCCTTTTCCCCACAGCCTAAGTCGCTGTACGAGATCCGCCTGGAGCGGCTGAGGAAGCGCATGCGCCAGCTGGAGCAGGAGAACCTCCACGTGGAGGCGCGCCATTGGACGATGCGCGGCGAGGTGACAGCTGGCAGCCGCCCGAAGAACAGTGCGCTGGCCGCTGACCTGGACTTTGAGCACGCTGCCCGGCCGCCGCCCGTGATTACAGAGGAGGTGACTCAAACGATTGAGGAGATCATCAAGAGGAGGATTCTCAACGTGAGTTGTGTGTGTGTGGGTGGGTGGGTGGGTGGGCGGGTGGGTGGGTGGGTGGGTGGGAGGGGGGGCCCGAAGGGTTCTGCACCAGTATTTCTTGCTGCTATGCTGCACATCCACCCATCCTCGTCTCCCCTTTTGTCCCGCCTCCTTCCCCGTGCTTGTCCACGTCAGCAACAATTTGATGACGTGGAGCGGAAGGCCAAGCCCGTAGCGACACCTGTCAAGGGGAGATTGGAGCTGGTGAGTGGCCCGTGCTGCCTCTTCTTCTGCTGCTCCTTCTGTTTCTGCTTCTACTCCTGCTCCTGCTGCTCCTTCTGTTTCTGCTTCCACTCCTGCTCCTGCTGCTCCTGGTTCTGTTCTTGTTGCTGCTTGTTCCTCCACCACTGCCCCCCCTCACCTGACCTCCATATGTCTTGGACCCACATGTCTGTTGTTGAATCGACTCAAAATATGTCTTTTTTTTAGTCGACTCAAAATATGTCTTTTTTTGAGTCGACTCAAAATATGTCTTGGACCCACATGTCTGTTGACCCGCCCTGTCCACCCCCTCCCTTTCCGTTCCCCTTCACCCCTCTTTCCGCACCCACCTTTTCCACCGCACTTCAACTGAACCATGGTCCCCACGCCCCTATTTCTGACCGCCTGTGTCTTCAAGTCTTCCCCCGCCTTTTCCGCCAACCAATATCCCAAGGATCACCTTGACTCATGTTCCAATCCAAGGGCTGCACTGCAGCCCTTGGACGACAACCCTCTCATGTTCAAAGCGTTTGTCCTGTTTGTCCCTCTCTTGCCCCGCCCTGCCTGCCAGGACCACAACCCCAGCGCGCTACACCTAGCAGAGATTTACAAGGCTCAGTTCCTCAAGGCTCTCTCCCTTTCCTGTGTGTTGCCTTGCCGCCCTGACACCACCCCTTGACACATGGTCTGCCCGTCACTCTCTCTGTGTTGCCTCTTGCCCCTGCCTGCCAGGACGACAACCCGAGTGCTCAAGGCCTGGCGGAGATTTACGAGGCTCAGTTCCTCAAAGCGGCTGGTCAGGCCCAAGAGGGCATGAGCGCCACAGAGCAGATCAAACACGAGGTGCTGTGCTGGGGGGCCCTGGGATGATGAGGGGGGGAGACGGGGTGGGAGCGACGTGAGGGAGGTTGGGGAATGAAGAGGTGGGGGGAGGGGTGAGGAGGGTATCGCGTTTGAGAATTCTCAAAAGGGTGAAGAGATTGGGCAGCTGCTCACCCCCCACCTCTTCTTATTCGTAACGCCTCAAACACATTTTTTTTCAAGGTTGATTTTGAGAATTTTCAAAATCAACCTAAAAAAAAGGTGGGGGATGAGGAGGGTGAAGAGATTGGGCAGCTCATTTGTAACGCCTCAAACATAGCAGCTCACACTGCCGCCCTCTTTACCTCTCCGAACCGCTCTGAACCTCTTTGCAACATCACCCCCTACAGGCAGCTCGCACGTTCAAGCATCTGTGCAACAAGCTGGATGCCCTCTCCCACTTCCCCATTACCCTTTCCCCCTCCTCCCCTCTCTGTCCCCTCTCTGCCATACCGCTCAACCTGCAGGCAGCCCGCATGTTCAAGCACCTCTGCACCAAGCTGGATGCCCTCTCGCACTTCCACTTCGCTCCCAAGCCAGTAAGTCTCGCCCCCCCATACCCCTCCCATGCCCCATGCCCCTCACACACTACATGCCCCTCCCTGTCCCCCAACTGCCTCATGTGCTTGACAGTAGTACTGCGCTATGAGGTGTGACAATATTGTATGTGCTTGTGCTCGTCTCTGTCTGCTCACTGGAAGCACACTGTGTCGCTAGGTGTACTTTGAGTCGACTGAAAGCAGACTGTGTCGCTAAATAGAATATCTCCTGTGCTTGCTCCCATCCCCTCCCATCCCATCCCATCCCATCCCATCCCATCCCATCCCATCCCATCCCATCCCATCCCATCCCATCCCATCCCATCAGATCATGGATGTCGTTGACGTCACAGCCAACGTGCCTGCCATTGCCATGGAAGAGGTACGTCCGTTTGTTGGAGTGGTGTGTGTGGTGGATTAGTCTTTTTTCATTTAAAAAAAAAAATTAAAAAAAAATCAGAAATTACACTCAAAAATATGGCGGCTTCAGTCCTCCTGTATCCCCTTATGATTCCGCCTCCTTTCGTCACACGTCTTCTCCCCGTCATCGATTCCACCTCTTTCTAATCCCACCTCTCTAATCTCCATCTCCATTTCCCGTCTCTCCTTTTCAATCCCTCCTCTCTCTTTTCGATCCGGCCACTTTTTCTCCGATCCCCTCTCCCCTGGACACTCCTCGTCCCCCCAGGTGGCGCCAGTGGCGGTGTCAACAGCCAGCAGGCTGGCAATAGAGGAGGTGTTTGCAGGCAGGGAGGACAGGAGAGTGTGGGGGCGGTCCTTTTGGGTCGACTCAAAATTCACCTCGACAGGAGAGTGAGGGGGCGGTCCTGGCCTCCCTGCCACCTGGGGGAGGGGACTGGCTCCTCATCCCATCTCATCTCTCCAGTCACTGATACCCGCTCTCACTTCCAATCCCTTCCTCTCCTTTTCCCGCCCGTCCCCTCCCCCGGGTGGCGCCAGTGGCGGTGTCAACAGCGAGCCTAACCGCGCCAGAGGAGGTGTATGCAGGCAGGGACGAGGGTGCCGGGGCGGCCCTTGCTCCCTGTCATATTCCCCCTCACTCTCTTCCAATCCCTTTCCCCCGTCTCCCTTCCCAGGTGGCGCCAGTGGCAGTGTCAACGGCAAGCATGCTCGCGCCAGAGGAGGTGTTTGCAGGAGGGGAGGAGGGCGTGGGGGCGGGCGGAGGGAGGAGGGGGAGTGCGCGGGGGATGGTGAAGGGCGAGGGGGAGATGGAGCGGGAGGATCGGAAGCGGCTGCGCAGCAAGCTCAAGCGCAAGTGGAAGGGTGAGTGGTCTGTGGGTGGGTGGTCTGTGGGTGGGTGGTCGGTGCTGCTTCTTGCAGTCGACAAGGACTATTCCGATTGGCGTTGCTTGGCGTCCTCTTTCGTTTATAATTTACGTCTCCCAACACTTTTTTTCCTTTCCCTCTACACTGCCTCATCTCCTTGGTGCGTCTGCAGGAGAGAAGGCCGAAGACCAGAAGAGCGCACCGGCAGTCCCTGGGGCAGCGTCAAGTGCAGCTGGTGGTGCTGGCGCTGCAGCTGGCGGTGGTGGGCGCAAGATTCGGGTGGTGGAGAGAGGGCAGCAGAAGCACGGGCTATCGGATTTCACCAATTCAGCAAAGGTACGGTACGGCCGTTCCGATCAGCATGGCCTTGATACTATTCATTCCCTGCGTATCAGCACGGGCTATCGGATTTCCTTGATTGGCAGACAGGCGCGCTCTTCCTGCCTGTCCTGCCCTGCCATGCGGTCCATCTGCCTTTTACTTTCTTTTTGCGTTTTCCCCGCTTTTCCCCACGCATTCTTCCCACACCTCTCGAGCATCTGGCAGCGTGAGGTGCTTTGAGTGTAGATCTGAGGCGCTACATTCACCCTTTCCCCCCTTCCGCCCGCAGGTCTTCACGCACATCCGGGACATCAGAGCATCGAGCAGCAAGATCTGCTCTGAGTTTATTTCAACTGCTGAGTTGATTTCAACTGCAGCAAGATCCCTCCCTCCCTCACCCCCTCTCCCCACTCTCCCCCCCACAGGTCTTCACGCACGTTCAGGACATGAGAGCATCTGGCATCAAAAGGTGCTTTGAGTGTGATCTCAAGTGTTACATTCTCCCTCCTCCCTCTTCCCCCCACCCCCACAGCTCTTCACGCACATTCAGGGCATCAGAGCATCTGGCAGGAATAGCTGGTTTGAATCGTTTTGACAAGTTATGTTCTTTTTCATCACTCCTTCCCCCCCCCCCCCTCTCCCCACAGGTCTTCACTCACATTCAGGATATCAGAGCATCTGGCAACAAGAAGCAGCGGGCGGAAGCGCCATCGCAGCACGAGCCTCAGCAGATTCGGGCGGCGGCACTCAAGCTGTGATGTGGAGTCTTCTCTTCTGCACCACCACCAGCAGATGGGTTATTTCGTTTTCTTGTGAAGTTCTCACCTCAGCAGCATGAGCCTCAGCAGGTTTGGGCGGCGGCACTCAAGCTGTGGTGTGGAACTTCACCATCACCACATCGCATGCCATAATTTCCTCTCCCCCGAGCCTGTTACTATACAAGCTATTTGTAGAACCACTAAGGGTTTAAGCTCACATGCTCAAGTGTCCCATGCCTGTCAGAACTCAGTTTCTCTTTCCCTACCATGGAAAATTTAGGCAAAGGCTTCTGTCTGTGTCCATGCCCCACTGGAAACTGAAAACAATTGCTGAGGTACAGTACAACCAGGCAGGCTACAACAGCATGTTCTAGCCAAAACCCGCTGATCGAGCCAACACAAACAAACGCAGCTACTAAAATCTAATCTAAAGCCTTGAGTTTCCAGCTTTGCAGCCTGCAAAAGCCTTTCTCTCATCCCAACCCATGCCTCCCATCAAATTTTGTCGCCCAGATGAGCAAACAAACCTTCCATCGACCTGTAGCACAAACTTTCTGTTAAACCACCACCCTACCGTATGCAGCTTCATGGTAAGTCGCATACCAGTAGGTTGGTAGAAAATCCTCAGAGGTGCAGTGCAAGGTCCAGCACTGGCGCAGGTGCAGGAGGGTGCAGCGGAGTACAGAGCGGTGATTGTAACCCTCCAGAAGAACCCTCGGAGCTGCCACTCTCCTCATCCGTATCAGCCCCTGAGGAGCAAAAAAGGTCCAACTCCATTACCTCAACCTCTTTCCCAAACTCCCCTGTCTTCTTCTCATTCTTCTCATTCTTCTCATTCTTCACATTCTTCACATTCTTCACATTCTTCACATTCTTCTCATTCTTCACATTCTTCACATTCTTCTCATTCTTCTCATTCTTCTCATTCTTCACATTCTTCACATTCTGCGTCGCCGCTTGCTCGTTCTCCATCCCATGATTCTCCTTCGTCACATTAGGTGTCACGTCGCGGGCAGCCATGGCTGCATCTGAAGCTCCCGAGCAAGCACCCCTGGCTCCTGAGCGAGCAGCCACGTCAGCATCAGACTCATCCAATGACGTGGACCCGGCGTTTGTACCTGCTGCCACGTGGGGCACCTTTTGCCGCTTCAGCCGACCCAGCTCCTGACGAATATTCGCCAGAATCGCAGCTCTCACAGAGTCTGAGGACCGATTATGCTTACCACCGCTATGGTTACCACTGCGCAGGTTGCTGCCATTCTGGTTACCACTCTGGTTGCTGTTTTGGTTACCGTCGATCTGGTTACCACCGCTGTGCCTCGTGTCCGAGCTCCCGCACCGCGTGGAGCTGTCAATCCGAGTCAGCCTGGGCGGCCGCGCCGCGCACGCGTTCATCGTGCTACTCGGCTGATTCCGAGTCGCCTCAAAAAACGCAGGCTGTTGCGGCGGCGATTCACCAACGCCAAAATCAGTCACGCTTCTCATGCGCGACTCGTCTTTATAGAGAGAATAGAGTCCAAGAAGTGGCGGCTCCGGAGATAATTCCCGCCGCCGCTTTCCGCCGTTGCATATTCTCATCGAAGCGCGAAGTGTGGCCGCCTTGCCGGCGCCGCCGTCGCGATGAGCCGACTTGTGGCCGCCCAAGGCTTGAAGCGACGCGAATTTGGCGCCGCAGATCGCGCACGCGAAGGGACGGCACGGCGACGGCGACGCCACCGGCGGCGCAAGTGAGTGTGTGCCGCTTTGCGAAATGAATGTCAGCTGGCTACCACAAGCAGGGGTGCTACCAGGAAGTGCTGCTGTTGGTGACGTGTCGTGTATTAGCGGCTCGTCGCGATTATGGAACGCCACGAACGGAAAAGGGCCGGCTGCGAAGCTCCGTCTAGCGGCTTCGAGCTGGCGTGACTCTTCCTGCGAGAAGCAGCCCGCCCACTCCGTCGCTCGCCGGTGTGCCGCCGCGGGAGCGTCAGCAACACCATCACTATAATTATGATGATTCACTGAATCTTGTCGATTCTTGTCGATTCTTCCGCGACAATCTATCGACGCGTCCCAGAGTAAGTATGATGGAGCATGCGGCGCGGTGCAGAGCGTTTTCATTGTCGTTGCCGTCGCAGGATCGCCCTCCGCTGCCGAGAAGGTATTGAAAAAGCCATTTCCTCGGCTATCGCGTCCCGCGGCGTGTGGAGGTGACGATAACGCTGACAATTGAGCCGTCTTCGGAAAATTGCGCGGCGCAAGATTGTAGAGGGGAGCATTCGCAAGCATCAGACGAATGGAATAGGCCGATGGAACGCTTGCGGCATGCGGCGATTCAAGAAGAGCAGACGTCATTTTCGCTTCGGTTGTTCGCCTATGGTCGACGAAGAAAAACTCGTGTGTGGTGACTTTCTACCAGTAGGACTGAACAGCTTTAACAAGTGGTTGAGAACGGTTGTTTGGTAGAAGCTGCATTTCCTAGTTGTGCAACACGTAACTATGGAGCGAGGAGAATGGCCGACAGTTGAGCCGAAAAGTGTTCGCCGAAAGGATGAGCTAGTTGAATCTTCCAGAAGATAGAGAAACAAGCTGGATTTCAGTCAGAAGATAGTTTTGTAGAGACGGTTGTGTGGTGGAGATACACTGTGTGATATTGTGTGATGTATGTGAGCCAGTATGTGTGATTTGTGTGATATGCAAATCAAAACGGACTGCAGGAGAGGACCCCGTGACCCAGCGAAACTGGTTTCGCGTTGGAGCGCGCATGCTCTGCCCAATGATCTTTGGGAGGGATGCTGAGGGGGATTCCCGTTGCTGCCAGCTGGCGAATCCTATCTCGCCTCAGGAGAGTTGACACTTGGCAACGCTGAGACTTTTCGCACGTGCTGGGCAACAATGCCCGTCCCGCGTGCTTGCGAAACCTGTGGTTACCAGACGCCTCCAGCCAAGGATGCCGTGTGTTGTACGTCCTGCCTGCATCATTGCCTACAGCCAGCTGTTGTACGGAAGATATTAAAGAATGCCGCATGCGCCGCAGATCCCACATGCGTTGCCAGCGTGGAATATGCCGACAGTACAATCGACCAATAATGCGCCATCACAGTCAGCCTTTCTTCCAAAATGCTGATGGCGCCAGTCTTTGCGCACGAAACCATCAACCTCGAGTCGAGGTCAGGGCTGTCGATTGGTTTGGAGCCAGAACTTGAGAGGCTGAGGTGCCCCAAAAGTTGCCCTGAAATTTACGGGCTGAGAGCTAACCTAGCACTTGAAATCAGGGCTACCAGCTTATTTGCACTTTCGCTAAGGAAAAACCTACATTTTTTCGGAGCCCAATGCTAATCACATCAAGAAATACGTTAAGTAGCTGGTTTGCGCTATCACTATTTTCCGAAAAGTGGGGGAAGTGGCTGGGAGGAGGTGGGGGGACGGGTGAGGGAATGGGAGGGAGGGATGTGTTAGTATGGGACAATAAGGGCTAGCCGAGGGATCTGCACTTGAAATCCGGGTTAGACCCACAACCAGCACTTTACGGGGACGGGCTGCCCTCAAAACAAACCCTTAAAATTTGGAAGCTGGCCCAAACCCAACCCTTAATGTTCAGGGCATTAAGGGCATTTGCCCTTGAATCGTCAGCCCTGGTCGAGGTCCTCGACCTCGACCTCGACCCGTCGTCGTCACGTCACATCAATCCCTCCCATTCTCGCACGCAAACTTGACTCTCTCACTTGAGGCGGCCTGATGCCTGATACTGTACACCCACCCGAATCCACTCGGGACGTTTGAGGTGAAGGAAAAGGACGCATGTGGTGTGATGGGCTGTGAAAGGAAGGTGTGCTGAAGGCAATACTCTGTAGTTACCGAAGTGTGACTACTGTAGAACGTCAACGTCATTCGAATGAAAACTATGACAATTATAGCGAGGCAAGCCACGCAGCAAAAGTCGAATGCCATTGTACGCGATGTTGTTTGAATTCAGCAAGAAGGAAACATCCTTACAGCATGTTCGCTTTGTTTACAGTAACCGCTTTCTCTAGTTATTGAGAATAATTATCGTGTAAAAAGCAGCAAATCGTGGAAGAGTCACGCCAAGTTAACTGTAAATGCTTACCGCACTCTGTGACTTAATACATATACATGGAGGTATGAATATGATTATGATGATGTGTCATCAATCGGTTTGAACAAAATTTACTGGGAATAATGAGCGTGCTCAACAACAAGGATATTCTGAATAGTGAAATCGCTTCATCGAACAGCTTGGTGATGGATACGATTGCAATCTTTCGCTGCGAAGTGATTCGTGAAAATACCGCGTTTCCGTTGGTCATCGAGTCTCTCGTCGTCTCGTCATCACTCCCTTCTCATTCATTCAACATTTCCGCCCAGCAATTCAGCTCCCCAAATTTTCCGCCCAGTAATTATGCTACATTGTAATAGATAAACTTGAAATTTTCTGTTTACGCGGGTTTCTGTTCCCAACTTGGGCCTCCAACTCGCCTGTATATTGCCGTGCCGAGTGTTGTGCCTGTAACATGTGGGTGTGTATGTTCAAAGTTCAGACATCAACGCTATTGCGTTATACTTCAAAAACATAGAAAAAACGTTTTTGAAGGGTAGCTGCCTTGAGCCAGTTGGCCCTCGGGCAGTTTACAGTACCGGAATCCGCAGTCCTTTTGTTTTCTGTGGTGCATGTAACTTTCCAGTTTGTTTCGGGCAAATATTTTGCATCGATTCTCGCAGCACTGCGGCGAATGGGGAGTTACCACGATACTGAGGTGTAGAGGTGTATAGAGGTGAGGTGTATAGAGGTGCAGGATTCTTTAACAAATTTCCTGATCCTTCGGGTGAATCTTTTTCGGGCCACAACAAAGCAGCAGCTTGCCTGCAATGGTTTGTCTGGGTCACAAATCAGCACAGCGAGTTCTTGCCGTTGACAACTTTCCACGTCGCAAATCCATCTATTCCGCATCTTTTATTGGTTGCATCGGAATTCGCAGATCTTTTCCTTCCACAGCATTCACTGTGCGTTTGTCGGGTACCCAGATTTTCCAGCGTGTCTTCCTTTCCTTCCAAGTTCCCCGGACTGAGGAAAGGAACATTTAAAAAGGACTCTTTGTTAAGTGGGAGGTTGTAAGAACCAGGCTATCGCGGTCGGCGTGGCGTCCTCAGAAACCCCTCCTCGCCTGCTGTAAATCAGGCAGGGAAACAATTTGACCACAAAAAGGAAACGACGTGGCGATTCCTCAGCGAACCACAACAGAACAGAGCATTGGTTTGGGAGGAAGCCATGAAAAGAAGAGAGTCAACAAATCCATCCCATTCAATCCTTCCACCAAGAAAGCCAAGCCACAGAGACGACGCAAGCCAGTTGATGTGCTAGGGAGTCCGTGAGACACGCGGCGGTCTAGACAGCTGAGACGACTCCCCCCCCCTCCTTACCTCCAGGAAACCCTCACCTGCCGAACTGCAGCCACAGGCGCACGGCATGTCCCACACCCTTCCAAACTTCAGTGTCTTTCTCGGGTAGGTTAGTAGTTCTTTCAACCGTCACTTTCACCAGACCCTCAATCCTAGCTTGATGGATTCCTTTGAACTTGTTCTCACTTCAACCAGCCGGGAAAACGTTTTGAAGATGTCAACCATTGCAGCACGAAACTCGAACAAGCGACTAGGAGCAGAGCGCCTTGACGACATGGCGAGAATAGGCCCTCCGACCACCACTATCATCGACCATTCCTTCTGCTCCTCGCGCTCTTTCGCGACGCTCGACGCGTCAGCAGCCCAGCGGCCGCTTGGTCCATTCACGGGCGCGCAACAGATCGTGCCGCAGGTCCGATCCCCAGACGGAGACGACAGCGCGATATTGTCGATGGTATCGGTAGATCACGTGACGCTGCACTCGGAGACTTTCGCAGGGAAGGCCGGGGAAGCTGAGGAGCTGTATTCTCCAGAAGGCTGTGCGATTCCTTCCAAAAAATTCAAACTATGGACGGCCGAAGACCGTGTTGACTCAGCGGCCGCGGTGGGGGCTTTGCTGCTTCTTTCAAGGCCGCACGTAGCAGGGTTATCTGGCGATCGATCTGTGCCTTCCATCGATGAAGACTGCCTGGTATCGCAGCCGTCCTTATCGCATCTGCTGAAGCCGCAGCTCGACGCTGCTTCGCCAACGCTCGCCGCATCCTCAGCGATTGATATCGAGCGGGATTACAGCTTCTGCAGCTTCGGACGGCGGCAGACGTGGCGGTTCGAAGCAGGATTCCCCGACGAGGAAACGGCGGAAGCGGGTGAAGCGGTTGCAAACAGTAATGGCCCATTCTCATTCGACGTTGATAATGTTGATGCTGATGAAGACGATTGTGACGATGCAGCGGAAAGCGGCGCGGATTGCCAATCGTGGCGGCTGGATGTCGATTTGTCTCTGCAGTGCACGAGGGGACGCCTCTGGGGATGCTCTGACGTGATTGGCTCTATCGATTTTGATGAATCGGGTAACTATTTCGCCACTGGTGGCATCTCGCGAAAGATTCGCGTGTATTCGATATCGTCGCTCCGTTCGATCAAGGAGCGGAAGCTGGAGGGTTGGCGGGAAAGGTGGGGGCGACAGAGCTGTGAAATCATTTCTGACATGTCAGCGATATCGGCGGGATCAGGAATGGCGGATTCGTCGGGCGACGCGGAGTTTTACAACTACGGGCTATCCTGCGCCGGGTCGCGTCGAGGAAAGCGGCGCGCTGCGTCGACAAGCGATTTCCGACCGTACGCCGAAGCTTCGGACCGAGATGATGCGGATGAGGAGGAAGCCTGCATACTCGACACGGACCAATCAGCGTCCAAGATACTCTGTTGCGCTGCGAAATTAAGTTCCGTGATGTGGGTTCCCGGGTCTAGTGGCATTATAGGCGCGGGTGACTATGACGGGGTCTTTGCGGAGTGGGACATCGAGAAGGGGCTTTGCGTTTCAGAGAGGGAGGAGCATGAGGGACAGCGCATCTGGTCCGTCGATTATTCCCAATGGATGGGATCCAACGGCAAGCCGATGTCCGTTTCAGCGTCGGACAACGGAGCGGTATGTCTCTGGTCGGCAGACTCTGAAGACAGCGTGGGAATGATTCGATTGGCTTCCGGCAAGCGTGCGATCTGCACTGCGAAATTCGGTCCGGCCAAGGGTGGCGAGAATCTTCTCGCATTGGCCGGAGCTGATTCGAAAGTGTATTTGTACGACCTTCGGAATCTCCAGGAGCCGATTCTTTCGCTCGCAGGGCACCAACGCACCGTGAGCTACGTGCGATTCATGGGCCCAGGCTCCCTGGTTTCCTCATCCGTCGATTCTACCGTCAAGCTGTGGGACGTCACGGGTTCGAATCCCAGCAACGACGTTTCTGCATCAACCGGCTCCTCCAGCCGGATACCTAACGCTGCTACTGTAAGTGCGACCAGCAACCGTTCTTATCTTCCTGTCGCAGGAGTCTCTAATTACCTGCGTGCGAGCTGCGACGACCATCTTAACGTGCGTAACTTCGTCGGGCTGTCCGTCAGAGAGCTAGACGGCGGTTCAAGCTTTTGCCGTGGCGGGACTACCAGATGCGGCAAGGGGACATCAGGTTCGGCGGGTCGTTCGGGGCTCATCGCAACAGGCTCGGAGAGCAACGAGCTGGTGATTTACCATGTGGACTCCAAATCCCGCTGCAGTTGTGCCTTGAAGTTTGACTTCGGCTTCGCTAAGCCGCCCGGAAACCATGGGAGTTCTGATACCAAGGGACGGTCTAGGACTCCTACTCTGGGAATGACTGGGAGAGAGAGCAGTAGCGGGGGAGAGATGAGGGGAAGCGGAAGCGGTAGCGGAGGTGGCGGGGGAAACGTCTTTGTGAGCGCCGTTGGCTGGCAGCAGCGCGCAGATAGTGACCTGCTTGCTGCAGCCAATTCCCAAGGGGTAGTTAGGATTCTTCAGACCCAGTGTGTATAGTCGAAATACTTGTGTACACGAACATAGTGATTTTTTTAGATGTTCTTTTAATAAATACTCATGTCTTACTATACTTCAGCCTGTAGTATTGGAATGCTTGTTCAAACTTCTCCTGACTGCAAAGCTGGAACCATTCATATACCTAGGTCTCTCCTAGTGCACTCACCACCTTTCAGCAAGTCAAAATAACATATCCTAGACAACACTGGATGCTCAAAACTGGATGTTAACAGCCACGCTTAGTGGCTACTGAAAAGCTATGGTATGCAAGCAATAGAGACCACACAAAAACCACACTACCGTATTTAGTGAAAAAAAAAAGGCTATTCTGCTGCTTTAAACCTCTTCTGTGCATGTTCTTCACTTGCTGCCCTCTCCATGCTTGCGCTCCGCTCCATTCTATAACGACCTCCCCCAGCCTCCTCTCCTCCCATACCTCCCGCTGCTCCCCCCTCTCCCCCACCCGCAGCAGCAGATGCAGCAGCGGCTGCTGGGTCTGCCATCCCCGAACCTGCCCCAAGTCCGGCAATCCCTGCTGCCGGCCCACGCATCCCAGGCATGGCAGCCAGGCTCGGGTGCAGCCCTCCTCCCGCCGCTGCAGCTGCCGCCGCAGCCGCTGCAGCAGCAGCATAATTATGAGGGGAAATACCCGAACCTGGGAGGTGCATACCCCCCGCACGCAGAGCCTCGAGTGAATATGCCCCATGGTGTGCTGCTGCAGCTGAAAGCGCAGCTGCATGGTGTTGTGAGGCATACGACTGGAGAGACTGCAGAGACACGTGAGAGTGTGCTGCTCCTGAGGCTCCTCCCGCTGCAGCAGCAGCAGCAGCAGCAGCGGCGGCAGCGGCTGCAGCAGTCCCAGCACTTGTAGCAGGAGCAGAACCGGCTGCTTCCCCAGCCGCCGCCGCAGCAGCAGCAGTGGCACCAGTGCTTGCCGCCGCCGCCGCTGCCGCCGCAGCTGCTGCCGCTGCTGCTGCAGCAGAGGGGTTATGCGCGTGGTGCTGATAGTACGCAATCTCAGCAGCCGACGGGCCGTAAGGCATCGAACCAGCAGCAGCAGCAGCAGCCGCCGCAGCAGCAGCAGCAGCGGCAGCAGCAGGATCATGCCGATAAGCCATGGGCTGGTGGTGGTGGTGATACATATACTGCGCCATGTGATTCACCCTTCCAAGCATCTCCTCGGCCATTTTCACCTTAGCTCGCAGCGCCTCCACATCGGATTTTAAAACACGGTTGTCAACAGCAGCGTCGCTGTATTTCCGCCCGATTTCTCCGAGGCGGCTGGCGAGGTTGGCGTTTTCGATCTGCAGCTGAGTCACCTGCGTCTCCAGCTCCCCCATGTGCGCCTGCTTCCGCCGCCGCGACCGCCGCGCCGACTCGCGATTGGACAGCATCCTGCCACGTGGACAGGCAGGGCCGGAAGGGACACAATGACTTGGCATGCAACACCGGCGTTAAACGCTAATTCACATTCTGCATGAACTGATAAGTACAAGTACACTGGTAAATTGATAGTCTTCCAACCTGTTGTCCGTATATCTGTAGATCTTGATCTCGGTAAATTCACTCAAATGAATTTTCTTACCTCTTGACTCGTTTGATCTCCTCAGGATCAGTCAGGTGCTCCAACGATGCCACCAACTCATCCTCCCCTTCCGACCTCCCCCCATCATCAGAATGGTTCTCATCCGACCCAACCCCATTCTCCCTCCCCCCTCCCCCATGCGCGCCCGCCCTCGTTCCCCCTCCGCCTCCCCCCCTCCCGCTCGACGCTCCCCCCAGACCCCTCTTCCCTGCACTCTTACCGCCAGCTCCCCCGCCCGGCTGCCTGCCGGAGGTCGGGCTGGCGGCTTCCGCCGCGCCAGGCGGGGCGCACAGGCGGCCCATTTCCTCCGGGGTCGGATGGACCACGGACGGCGGGGGAGGCGGAGAGAGAGGCGCGCCGTTCGCCGATGCGTGAGTGCCATTTGTCGCCACGCCATTGGCTACGGCTGCGGCCGCGGCACTTGCGGCGGAGGCGCCGGTCATGGCAGCTGCTGCGTCCGCGGTCGGCGCCTGAGGGGCGGGGGGCGGAGGGCGGAGGGTGGAGAGGGGAGCGGGTACGGGGAAGGGGAGGTTTAAGGGGGAGGGCGGAGGGGGGAATGGTTTTGGTCTCAATGCGGAGTGAGGGAACAGGAGCGGAACGGGAGCGGAAGGAGAAATGAAGGGGGGGTAGGGAATTGCGCGAGGGGGGCTGGAAAAACACCGGAGCGAGGGGCCACAGGGGTTGACGGAGTAGATCAGTGGCAGAGACAAAACGGGGGGAAAGAGGGTGTGGGGGAACCAGATCCGCAATGAATAAACCCCCAGACATGGACAGGCATTACTGAAAGTTTTCCATACCTGCTCTGCTGCGGCTGCAGCTGCCGTTGCCGCTGCCGCTGCTGCTACCGTTGCCGCAGCCGCATCCGCTGACGCGCCTAACGCGCCTGACGCCAACCCTTTGCTAGACGGGGAGCGGAACACCCCGAGCCCGCCAAAACTTCCGCCATCCCCCCCCGCTCCAGCATTTGCACCGCCTCGTCCCGCCTCCGCTTCTTCCCCCGCTGCCCGCCTTGGCGCGGATAATCCTAACCGCGGATCGCCTCCGGCCAGGTCTAACCGACTATGCCTACTGCCCCCCATTGCGCCGAGCCCGTCGGCCGCTGCAGCGCCTCCTGCGGCGGCGGCGGCGGCGGCGGCGGCGTCAGCTTCTGCTCCCGGTCGGCCGAACATACTTAGGTTAAGCCGGGACGGGCTCTCTCCTAAGAGCTTATCTAGGCTCGGAACGTGGCTTAGGCCGGCCATTAAAGGGCTAACTCCGCTGAACCCTGTCACTGTCCCCGCTGCAGTCTGCTCCTTTATAAACTCCTGAAACGCCCATTCCGAGGAAATTCGGTTCATACGATGGAAAGAGCCCGTGCGTGGGATTGGACGCTGTAACTCGCTGCTACCCAGACCGCCGGACATTCCGCCGGAATATCCGCCGGGAAAGGCGGACGCCCCTGGAGGGAGAAGCCCGCCAGAGGCGGCAGCAGCGGCGGCGGCGGCGGCTGCCGCAGCGGCGACATCGCCTGACGACTCTACCTTCCAGAATGTTCCTAATATATCGTCTACTGAGAAAACTCTTTCCATTTCAGCGAATAGATTCACGAAACTAAAAGGCTATTCTACGAAAAAACTTAATGTAACAACAGCCTCGACAGCAGGAATGGCCTAGGCTATCAGAAACGAGTTTCGATCAACATGAAGAAGAGGTAATCAACCTCAATTGCGAACTCGGTAATCGACCACGATCGACACGATCTAATCTGCTGCTCAGAAAACCGATACAACATGAGGAAGCGCGAACAGCAAACAATGCGATTAATTAACACTACCGTGGTTTGGTGAAGCTAAACTGACTAGAGTAACGGACTCTTCGAGTTGGTTTGGATCGGCTCACCATGATAACTCCCTTGAACTCTCCAAGCCTCGCAGGCGGGTTTCTCTGGTTCCGTTTTGACGTTCAAACGGGTGGGTCACACTGGAGATGCTGGTGATGCGATGACTCAGCTGTGGGCCGTTGCCAACGTCAGCTGGGGCCCTGCCTCCGTGTCTGCTGGCCCGCCCTTCACCAACCACTCAACTGACCCCTGACCAGAAAACGCTTTTCGGGCTGTGCGCACTGCCGGAAGGGGGTGAGCGGGCAGTGTGGATGACAGATCTGACTTCTGAATTACAATCTAGCCGTTCGATTACTTGTACACGACGAATTTGACGGCTGATACTCTTCATTGATGAGTTTTCCGACCGCTAGCTTTGCGAAAGTTTTTCTAGCAAACCCGCATCACATAATCGCATCGCCAATACGAGGAACCACTTGTGCGAAGCCTGGACAGCAACCGAGTTTTCTCCGATCGCTTTACAGTAATTGACGGCTTTCTTTCATTCCTGGACTTGTGCGCGTGTTCTAGATGTGTGGGGTGAGCTCCACATTTATCGGCACCGCGTTCCCGAGCTTGTGAGAATTGAACGGACCAGACATTGCTGCAGGTGGGAGGCAAAACCCTCGGTGTGCTGTGAAGGAATCTTGTCATTGCGACGTGTCAATACGTGTGCCAGATAAGCCTCCATGTCAATGTGATGAATCGGATGGGTATGCCTCGCCACGGTTCATATAGTTCCTTGCAATTGTGTAAGGCGTAGACAACCTTGTGTGCATGAGAGGAGGTATCGGGTAACTGTCTCAAGAACTGAATCAGCCAATACCGCATTGTTAGCACACCGACCGACAGTCCACATTTCTTGTAGCCTTTCGGTGGACGGCGACGGCTGAGCTGACCTGTGGGAGGAAGGAAGTTGGTGACGTGGGAAGCGAAGCTTCGAGACAGTCAAACGTTCAGCAAGAAAAAGCTCGAGCTGGTACGAAACTGGTTAGGAACACCGGACCTAGGTTGGGCCTGAGCTGATCGGTAAGGCCAGGCTCGGAAGTAAATGATTTCCATTAGAGATTCAACACGTGTCTAAAAGCCGAACCGTCAGCCTGACACGTCTCGCAAACCGAATCGGCCGGGTTCCTGCGCGCGTGGTGGGAGTGCGATGTGGTCGTTTCTGCTCGGCTCGATTGCGACGAAAACGAAAACTGTAGGAGGGAAGAATTTCGGAGGGCGGGGAGATGGTGTGCTGTCCTCCGGGGAGCCTTTGTGCTGTCCTCCGGGGAGCCTTTGCTCCTTCTCTTGTCCCTCTTCCCCCCTCTCACGTTGCGCGTTACCCCCTCCAGTCCAGCTGCCGTGCGGTCCGTTCCATGCCCCGCCCCCCTCATCCCCCCACAGCCAACAGCTCACCACAGAGCACCGCCAGCAGTGTCAGCACCATCTTGTACGCCGCTTCAATAATCAAGCCCCGTTTCTTGCTAGCTCCGTTCTTTCCCGCTGCTCCAAATTGCGCCTTCGTTCTCACCTCATTATCCTCGCAAGCAGTCAGAGCTTCGTTCGTGGGGGTAAATTTTAAGACGCCTCGAATCTAGCACTCATCGCCTGTGCTCTCTCTATCGCTTTGCCTACATTGATAAGTTGCACCAGCGGGTCATTAGCGATCAAGCGGGGCACCAGCATATTATTACCGGATAACGGAGAACAATTAAGCAGATCAGTCACACTTTCAGTTTACGGACGTGCTCTGCAACGCGATGTCTCACAAAATTCTCCCTTTTTCTCACAAAAGCCGCCCTCCCAGACAAGAACGTCTCGTTCTCACCCGCTCTCTCGCCCTCACGACGTTCATAGGAGCATTCGCGCTGCTCGTCCCGTCAACCGCCGCCGCGCTGAAGCTCGGCCCGTATATTCCGCCGGGCGCCACGGACAACCGCGGCCCGTGCCCGGGGTTCAACACGATGGCGAACCACGGCGTCTTTCCGCGCGACGGCTCCGCCATTCCGCGCAAGCGCATCGTGAACGCCTTCCGCAAGTTCTACTCCTTCTCCCCGACCGTGACTAACGCGCTGATCAACGGCGCTTTCTCGGCAGGTGTGGGGGATCGCGCGGCGGGGACAATCGACCTTGTGCAGCTCCGCGCGCACAACAAGCTCGAGCACGACGTGTCGCTCGTAAGCGACGACGCTTACCTCGGTAACAACTACCTCGTTAACAAGACGCTCTTCAACCAGATGCTTAGCTTCTCTTCGACAAAAAAATATATCACTCTTCGCGAGATTGGCCGCTTCCGCAAGCACCGCTTTTACGGCTCCCATAAGAACAATCCCCAGCTTAGTTACGACACGAATCGCGAAGCCGTGGCGTTTTCCGAAGCAGCGGCGCTGGCAGGGGTGTTCGGCGGAAGGCTGCGCTTTTACGCGGTTCCGATTAGCTACCTCAAGTCGTTTCTCCGAGATCACCGCTATCCCAAAGGCTTCAGGCCGCCGCTTGTTCCGCTGAGCTTCCCCGAGCTGCTCGCCGTTGCGGCGCGCATCAAGGTCGCCGCTTTTTTCGCTTGAGAAACGAGAAAGATCTGTTTCGTGACGGCCTATAACGCGGATACGAAGCAGGAGCTTTTCTGCTGCTGTTGCCGACTCCTGGACTCCGTGACTTCAAGCTGTTGGCCATGGCGGGAGGGAGGTTTGGTTTTCTGGTTGTGTTCTTCAATTTCTCCAGTTTAGGCTGCTGCACAACGATCTAATGTCTTACGTTGTTGCCCGAACTGACCGTTTTAGTTTTGGTAACAGCGTTTGGCTCTATTTAACATGTGAAAATTGTCAACGTTAGGGTGCCATAATGGCCTTCCCCAAATATAATCACCCACCCATTTAATTCTAGTAAATCAATGCGGTTCAGCAGTCAGTGCCATATGAACGCCAATCAGAAGTTTGTATATTTAGGACCAGCAACGCATGTAGTGCTTTTTGCACCATGGCAACACCATATCATGCAGCATTCTACTACCATAATCCTAGGCAGGGCCATACAACAACAGTACAATCTGCAATCACAATGCAGACCTCCGTATGCGCATGGACCAGTTGTAACGAGTAACAAGATTACGGTAACAAGTGTACTGGCGAAACTCCTGACGATGCACAACAGAGCCGGCAACTGAGTCCTAATTCTTTCTTGGCCGTTGTTTAAAGACCCTCCACAATATGCTGCATGGGCTATCGGCTGATTCTCTGTGCTCCTAGCCTCATGCCAGTGGGTTTCTTCCCCCCGCTGTCATCCCCAAGCATACTTTCTAAATCCATACTCGCTCCAGCAGGCAGCTTCACATGCCCACTTGCCGCACCACCAGCTCCGCCTCGGCTCGCTGCCGAACCTCTACCAACCGCCGAGCCGGACGCGCCAGCTCCAGCGCGGAGAGGCTTGGCAGAGCTGACAGGGGCAGGAGCAGCAATAGCAGCCCAGGGATCTTCATCCTTACTGCTTGCAGCAGAAGGGGCCGCTGCTGGTGCTGCAGGTTTTCCTCTTGTTACACCCAGGGGCCCACCTACCTTGCCTGCCGCTGCCCCTCCACCTAATCTCACCCCTGCCGGCCGCACTGGTGCTGCTTTTTGAGGCGACGCAGTGGGAGCTGCTGCTGCAGGGGTAGCCGCAGGAGCATGGTGGGGGAGAGATACAGGCGCAGCAGGAGCGTGATGCACCACAGGCCGTTGCTGTGCTGCCTGCATGCGAGAGAGCGACGCTGCAGCAGCAGCAGCAGCGGCAGCAGAAGCAGTGGCAGCAACCTTAGACGCAGAACTCTCCTCCCCATCATCCAAATCACCCCACCCATCCCCATCCTCCTCCTCCTCCTCTGCTTCAGGCTCAGCTGGGGAAGGTGCGGCTGGGGCAGGCTTGGAGAAGGTGTGAGAAGAGGGGGCGGTGGGTCTAGCTAGGGTAGGTCGGTGGACGGAGGAGGGCTTTGGTTTCGCCTGCTCCTCCTCATCCTCCTCCTCCTCTTCCTCGATTTCTCCCCAGCCATTGCCCTCAGGCTCTGATGCTGCTGTGGTGTGTATGGCGGTGAGGCGAGGGAAGGGTTGAGAGGGAGGGCAGAAAGACAGATGAGTGAGAGGAGGCTTTGAAGGAAGACAGATTAAGCAGAGTGTAACAGTCACCAGGGGATCATGAGTTGCCTTAAGAAGGAAGAGGGGAGGGGATGGCAGGTGGTCATGCAATTGAGTTAGCTAAAACTGGGGGGAGGAGGAGATGGTTGGTTTCAAGAATGTGAGAGGGGGAAGGGGAGGTGAGAGGATACGTGACAAGGGGAGAGGCATGCTGCAGGCTCATACCAAGAACAAGAGTCTAAGGACGGCAACACACCTATGGCAGCAGCAGCAGTGGCAGTTGAGGAATCTCCCGCCGAGACAGCGGCAGAAGCCCCGGCACCTGCTGCAGTGGGGCCTGCCTTGGGGCCTGCAGAGGTGAGTGAGCTGACAGCCCAACTGGTGTGTTGGAGGCGGGGGGGTTGAGGCGAGGGAGGGAGGGAGGGAGGGAGGGAGGGAGGGAGGGAGAGAGAGGGAGGGAGGGAGGGAGGGAGGGAGGGAGGGAGGGAGGGAGGGAGGGAGGGAGGGAGGGAGGGAGGGAGGGAGGGAGGGAGGGAGGGAGGGAGGGAGGGAGGGAGGGAGGGAGGGAGGGAGGGAGGGAGGGAGGGAGGGAGGGAGCAAGGGATGTGATGAGGACCTCTGAGGGAGATTAGAGGATGAACGTGAGTGGTGAAGGGCCTGACTTTGGTCCAGGCGAGGGCCCATCTGGTGCAGGGAATAACATGAAAGAGGTGAGAGGACACGAGAGGAGCTGAGAGGAAATGAGAGGAGGCGAGGGAATTCCAGACGAGATTAGCGGCAGATGCTGCTTCTGGGGCCTGCATGCGAGACGGTTCAGCACACACAGCAGAGTTGACACTCACCCCAACGGCTCAACAAACAGCCCTCCCCAACAGCCCTCCTTAACAGTCCACCCCAACACCATAAGTTGTAAAGCTCACCCCAGCAGCCCCCCTGTAGAGCCGGAAGCAGCAGCAGCAGCAGGTGCTGCCCCCTGGGCTTGTTGTTCGGCTGTGTGCCCTTCCAGCTAGAATAGGAGAACAAAGGCCGATGCAAGTGGTATCAGACAGGAAAAGGGAAAGTGGGAACAGGGGTAGGAAGGAAGGGAGTAGCGCAAAGGGGGATGCTTAGTGAAGAGTGCTTGAGCATATAAATTTTGTTAATGGGAAAATGGGAGTCGCACATGGTTGAAACGGCAGAACACACTTGGAAACGAAAGGTGAGGGGATCACACTTGGTTGACAGCTGAGCACAGGTACTAAGGGTGGAAAATGGAGAGATGACTTCTGAGTCGACTCAAAAGTCAAAGGTACTAAGGGCGGTAGTAAATGGAGAGATGACTTTTGAGTCGACTCAAAAGTCACTAAGGCACCAAGGGTGGCAAATGGAGTTCCAAAACGTACAAAACACGGTAGTGAGTAGTACCTTAGCATGGAAATCAGAGACGGACCGAAGGAATGAGAAGGCAGCCTGGACGGCCCTGGTGTGCACGTCCCTGCAGGAGAGGAGGTGTGGGGGGGTGGGGGGTTGAAGTGATGGTGATTAGCACGAGTGTAGTTTTGAAGCGCCTCAAAAGAAGACTCAGAAGGAACGAGAAGGCAGCCTGGACGGCCCTGGTGTGCACGTCCCTGCAGGAGAGAGGGGACGGGGGGGTGTGTGATTGGGTGATGATGTCATATGTCATGAGAATGGAGAGCGGTGTGAGATGCAGGGGAGAGGTAAATAGCAGAAGCTGAAAAGGAAACGGCACATCACCATGTGTGTGTTAAATCGCAGGGATTACTTATCCCACGGTGAAACAACTGGAAACCTTGGGGGTCATTTTATTGTTCTTGGGGTTCGGAAAGTTCACTCACGTGTCGGCATCCACTGTGAGCACCACCAGGGCAGGCAGAATGCGTGTGGCTATCTCTGTGACGTCGTAATACTCCCGTGTGGCTGACAGCGCCATGATGCCTGCAGGGGGGAATGTGATGGGAGTGTGGGGGGATGAATGGTATGGAAAGGCAGAGGTGTGGTGTGTTGTGGTGTGGTGTGGGTAGGTGTGGTGGCAATCTCTGCAACGTCGTAATACTCCCTCGTGGCTGACAGCGCCATGATGCCTGCACGGGGGAAATATGACGGAGGTGAGGTGCAGATGTGAGGGTGATGTAAGCGTGTGGGTAGGGTTGTGGGGGTGACGATGTGAGGTAGCGCGGCAGCAATAGACATGGATGACGGAACCATGATGTCTACGCGGCATGGCATGGGAGTGTGGTGGGGTGGGGAATGATGAGTGGGGAATTCTGCAGCGATTTCCCAAAACAGGGTTTGCGAAGAGCCAGATATTTCCCCTCAGACCCGTTTGAAATTAGATATTGCAAGCATATTTACGCCAACATCAGCATCCCTACAATATTCGGCTTATGGTGTCTGTTGCAGCTGTTGACTCACCAGCTGCCCTGGCAGGGGGGAAGGCGTCCCTTAGAGCGCGGACAGTGAAGGCGTTGATGAGAACTCGCTTGCGCGTCTGTGGGAGTTACAGGGAGGGCAAGTAATGATGCATTTTAAATTGCTATAAAGCAATGAAAAGCAGAGTCAAGACACTGATAAGCGCGTCTCTGGAGGCCATAGGGAGGACAGAGAGACATTGAGTGTGCGTGTGTGGAGGGGGGAAAGTGGAGGAGAGCAAGACCTGTGTGCAAGTCGACGGGGGCACAATGAAAGTGTATGGAAGGGGGAGGGATGGGCAAGTGGAAAGTGAAGGGGGGGGGGGGGGGAAAGTGAGAAAAGGAAAGATGTGGACATTCGGTGTATGGTCTAGTAATGTGGTGCAACGTTTTGATTGACTGAAACTCACTGCGCCATTGAGGCGGTTTTTGCGGCGACTGAAAAGTGAGCCCAACTCACAGCGTCGTTGAGGTGTCTGGCGATGTTGCCGAGCAGAATGGTGGTGTTGGTGCGGATGGCAGCCTCCTCGTCCACCTGGCGCATGGGCGGTCAGGAGGAGGAGTGGGCGCAAGGACAGACGGGATGAAGGGAGGGAAGGGCGGTTGGGAGAAAGGGAAGACAGGGCAGTCGCGGGGAATGGAAGCATGGGAAGTAGGAAGTATGGGGAGAAAGGGAAGCAAGGTCTTTGAGAATTCACAAAAACCAAATGGAAGCATGGGTAGTAGGGAGAAAGGGAAGCAAGGTCAGACGGGAGGACGTGATGCAGGGAAGGGACGAGATGCAAACAAGGTCGGGAAGACTGACAGATCGATACTAAACAGAACAGCAACACGGAATTTGTTCTTCGTGACGGGAGCAACAGAAGCAAGGGGAGACCAGATGAAAGAAAGTTAAGTGGTCGGAGACACAGCTGTGAGAAGTCTCAGAGATCAAGACAGGCGGAACGGACCTGCAGCTTAGAGAGGTGCTTGAGCAGCGGGCCTCCGAGGGTGCGTTGGGAGAGCTGGGTGGGCGAAGGGAAGGGGGAGAGGGGTAGGTGTGAGATGGAGAAG